AGGGAGGGGAGGGGAAGGGAGGGGAGGGGAGAGGAGGGGAGGGGAGGAGAGAAGAGAACTATTCCACATTGTAAGAATTGATAGAAGGCAGATCCTGTATCCCATGATAGACACTGAAAAGGACAGATACATACTTTTTTAACTTGCCTTGGCAGTAATGGAAGGAATATTCCCCTTAGGCAAGGCCAATTAAACACATCCACTTTTGACATTAATGGGAAACTAATGTGTAAGGAAGAAACAGTGCAGCATCTTTTCATATGAGGACAACAGCATTTAGTCTCCTGGAGCCCAGTGGAGGTGACTGTAAGACCAGTGTCCAGTGTCCAGCACCAGGGGTGCTGCCCATGCAATCCACGAGGTCTAATGGTTGGCAGTCACAACAGTATTCTCTCCACGGTTGTTTGTGGTATGCGCTTGTCTCAGGTGCGATTGCTTTACTTTCCTGTACTTCTGCTCACTTTCTGATTTTTCATTCTTCAACCTCCCTAGTGGTTTATTTTCTCCTCAACTCAAGCAGTTTATTTGTTTTGCTTGCAATTAAGAACACTGACTTTAGGAGTCTCAGAAATACAACACACAGAATGGAGAGGAGAAAATATTCATAGAAATAAAGTCTGAACATTTTCCAGAGTTGAAGACATGAGTTCTCGAATTAAAATATCACATCAAGTTTCAAGCAGGAAAAACGAAAACAATTTCTGACTGAGACTCATCAGACTGAAATTACAGAACTTCAAAGACAAAAAAAAAATAACGTAAAGTCTGCTTTAAAAAGTCTGACAGGATAACAGATTTCTCATTTGTAACAATAGATTCCAGAAGACAGTGGAACAATGCATTCAAAACAATACATTCTAAATTACTGTCAATCTAGAATTTGATTCTTATTTTAATAGCCATTCAAGAATAAGAGGGATTGGAGAGTTTGTTTAGACCAAAATTCTAAGTTTGCTTCTCATATTCCTTTGCTAAGGAGACCACTAAAACATACATTTCAGAAAAAATGATGTGAAAACAGAAAGGATGGTGTTTAAAAAAATGAGAAAACATATTAGTAATGTGATGTGGTGAATAAGTATTCATAGTAAAATATTAAAAATAAAAATATCAAAATGGTAATTAATGCCCACTTTAAAAATTAACATTTTTAAGTAAAGTTTGCATACAAAAATATATCTACTTTGATAAATTTTGACAAATATATAACTGTTTATAACTACCAGGAAATAAAGACCTGGAACTTTTACAGCAACCCAAAATTTCTATGAATTTCTTCTCAGTCTCTGTACAGTGACATAACAACCTGCTGCTCATCTCCTTTAAGAGAACATGTTACGGGGTATGTAGTTGGCTGCCTCCTCTATCGATCCAAAAATGCATTCATGACAAGATCATGGCTCCAGCAGGCTTCTCTGATCCGGTGACTAGGCACTACAGGGGTACTCATGCTGATCCCTTCCTGCAGCGTGCAGGATTCCTCTACCAGTCTCCACACTGACATGGCCACATTATATTACCTGAGCTGCATTCTGAGATTCTGTATACCCATTCTGCCTATAGCTTCTCCCTCACTTGATCCTCTTCCGGTATTTTCTCAGAAAACTGTTTGCATAACAAATCTCATCTTGGTGTGTGTACTTCCTAGAGGATTCAAAGTGACATGGGTGATAATGAGAGTGGTCCAGGGAAATGATAGTAAATGAGTTTTTTATGCTGGATCATATATCTGACCAGAAAATTATGTGTAGAATTTCTTTCCATATTTATTTAATATTTTCATATAAACATACAAATACATTATTGAATTTGCTTTTCTAAAACTGTACATGCCTCATAATCACAACATTTCAGATTCTGGTAGTTCCCTACCCTTTTCTCCAACACACTTGGAGAGAGTGCTCTTCCCCTCATATACTCACTAGATGAGAATTATTCTGTTAAGGCATTCCCTTCCATGAAAGTGGAGCCTAAGTAAATAAATGCCCCATTTAGTATAATAGTAATCCCTGAAAGTATTTTGTGGCTTTCAAGTTTAATCAGTTAAACTATGATTTGTTTTGTTTTTTTCCTCACTTGGATTTTAAAAGTCCACTTTGTCTTGCTTTTTCTCCTGGGTCATTTGTTCCTATTGTAATATACAATGAATACCTGAAGAAATAGTCGCTAAAAAAAAACAGATCCAAATTAGGTTATATACATAGATGTTACATAAGCAATTGATTTAGTATTATCGTTTTATAATTTGGGGCAGTGATTCATTTAATAATATCTTCTGCTATTTCATATAGACATTTTAGTTTTAAGGTTTTATTATTTTTGTTTAAGGCTCATTTATCCTTACAAAAGAATTAAACTGGAAACCAAAGCACCTTAATTCATCCCAAAGATTTACACCTTAGTACAAATCAGAAAGCTGGAGAGACCAAAAGAGCAGTATTTACTGAACAAGAAGGAACTTAACTAAGATGGATAGAGGAGTTTAGAAGTGAAACAACAATACTCGCTTATCAACACCAAAAAAAATCATCACTGGTTTGCTTAGTAGTGGCTCTTTTTGCACTTTACATACCAAAAGTAAATTTACAAATTAAAACAAAATACTGTTATGAAGATTATTTTTATTTCATAAAAATCACTTTAGTATGTTCCCATTAATGACCTACTTTTGGCTGAAAATATGCCTCTTCATAATAAAAAAAATTACTGAAAGAAAACACATGTCTATACTTAAATTATTTTAAGTACAAAAATGTGTTCTAAAGGAGTTAATAAATACTGGTTTTCACTTTACAGCCAAACACAGTATATTGCTTTTTGTATAGCAGCTTCCCTGATGATAAATGCTGCACAAATAATTCATGTTCAGGCTAGAACAAAATTGGCAGTAAAGATTAAACTCACATTATACTAGAAAGGCAGGGGATTTCAACTTGAGCCTCAAGCAACTAGACATTCTAGTTAGAAATGTGTCAGTAAGATTAAATAGTTCAGGCTTTCCTCTGGGTAGTATGGACAAGACTGAATTTTCAAACATACTTTATTGTTAAAAAATGGTAGTTGATATTGGAAAGTAACATTCATTTAACAAACATTAATAAGCTATTATTATGTGCCAGGAATTGTTCTAGGTTGTAGACAGTAAACAAAACCAAAAAAATACTTCTGTTGTAAAACTTATAGTGAGTAAACTTCCACGTAGCTGAGTTGAGATAAAAAATTTCCAGTGCATGGCGCTTCATATACTTTCTTTGAAATATATTTTAAACTTAGATAAATTTAAAAGACATTCCCAAGGTCTTGGGGGAGACATAACTCATTTATTTTCTTGTTGTTAACAAGCCAAAGACTGATTTCTAAACCTATAAACAAGGTGATGAGGTAATATTGTTAACCTTAAAGC